ACCAAGTTGCGACAACGAAGGACACTGTGACCCTACCAAGGGCCACACCATCTTGAACTTCACATCTTCGAAGACATGGTGCAATTAACTGCCAAAATTTGACACTCTCTTTCAGTCAAATTTGCTAGCCTCGACCTCAGTCTCTCAAGAAATCCGTTGCAAACAGGAGTACCATGACTACAAAATTATTTGATGTATGCTGGGTGGAAACCGTCTTTTCGACAAGTCGTCTTGGCTGCAGAAGATATGGCTGTTTCTCAGACAACTGCGAGCTCGAGGCCTTGTTCCACTCCGGCCGAGCAACGGTGTTGCCTCGCGATGGATACCGGCCTGTTAGGTCACATCTGCACGTTGTAGTGCAGCGATCCAGCCGGCCGACACGTCTGCCCGACTCACTCGGCTCTACTTCACTCCGGCCTCCTGTCTCCGGACTCCGGTCTCTGGTTGAGCAGCCACCAGAGCTGCAGCAAGTAGAGGTCTTTACTTCGCTCTGTCTGTCTCTTGACTGGCCCAAACCTGTACCGATTGTCCTTCATTATCTCCTCTCCTGTCCACAACACCTACGCCCCCGCATTGGCCTTCACTTCTCTCTCTCTCTCTCTCTCTCTCTCTACTTTTACTTCTATTTCTTTTTCTCTCTTTACCTCTACTTATACCTTTACCTCTCTCTCTCTCTCTCTTTCTCTACCTCTACTTCTACCTCTCTCTTTCTCACACACTCCATCGCCTTTAGCATTTATCTTTTCAATCATAGTCAGTACAGCCAACGCCATATGTCAAATGAAACACCCGCAGCGTTTGTGTGTGTACACGCATAGAACGAGTGAGCCAGGACAGGATAGAGCGATGGAGCTATAGAATTATGGAACTAGAGGACAAGGGGAACAACTAAAATCTACAGCTTTTCGTCTTCGAGACGGTGGCCTTGAGGCTATTTATAGAATCCCAAAATCATATTGCGTGCTCATTGATTCCATGTTCTATGCTCAATGGAATCGATACCATTTACTGGACTCAAGCTGGTCTCCATAACGAGACTACGGGCGTCGAACATTATCTCTGGCCGAACATCCACACGTCTTGGCTGCTCGTCACATCATCAGCCTTCGTCCAAACTCCCCCGGAGTGAAGGCGAGATAGATGTCACCATATGAACCAGAGCTGTAAGCTGTAGCATGCGTGTGTACACTCGGACCAAGGCCCCCAACCGAAATCTCCGTGTCCAGGGGAGGCATCAAGTGGTGGGCTGTCTCAAAGATAACGATTTCACTCAACTCGGACAGTCCAGCGAGGGTTGTTGGACTTTAACGAGGCATAAATCGAGGTCCATCTTGAATGACGACATCGATTCGGTACGGTTAAATTGGTAGAGGTCGCTAAGCCGGACTCCAGATATGTATATATGTTTCTTTTTTTCTTTACATACTCCAAACCTATTCATTTTTGTATGTTATTGTGTTATTTGCCAATTATGACACGCCCTGTACATGCTCGGGTTTGAGTAAAATGGTGAAGTTTTGAAACCATTACTGCGATTGTGTACTTTTGGACGCACAGCTGGCTAACGTAATGGAATGTAAACTATGTAACTTTACAAATTATATTATAATCGATTGATAAAAAGTCTATTTTAAAAAGTTTAATGCTAAAAAGATGGCCTAATTGAACGAGTGTACATGATACAATCTACTTGAAAAAAGGCAATAGCTATAGTCCA